TTCAGGTAGGTCTAATGTATTTCAGATCATTTTCCAGCTCTTGAGAGCTATGAGAGTGTTTACATCACATGAATCCCACTCACAGTGAGATCACAATGGTATGAGTTGCACTTTTAGGACCAGGAGTTAGCCTAATTTTTAGGCATCTGGCATTGTTAACAGAGCATTTTTGTGTGCTAGCCTTAGTCTGCTGACAATTTTTCTTCCCATCTGTCCTTGCCAGGTGAGCTGGCCAGGAGGAAAACTTAAGCATTAGTGTATCTTAATAGATGTCAGAGAGTCAACGTGGAGTGACATGTTCCCAATGCCTCAAGCCCAGTGTAAGCTTCAGTCAGAGCATGACATCTGAAATCTCAGCTGTACACAATGAAGCCCATAGAAACTGAGGTTTCTGTTTTCCTACTCAGAAATGGCTGGTAATTTTGCCTTTTCTACCTTTTCCAGTTAACAATTCTTACAGAATATATACCAGATAGCAGCTTATGCCAAGGACTTGTGAAAATAACAGTGCTATCCATTCTGTGTGCTTGATTCTTCACTGGTGATGGATGATTGCACCTGGAAGATGGCAGCCTCAGTCATTCCTTTTAGGAGACAGATTTTACCATTTCAGATACCCACTGCAGGAGCAAATACACTAGGAATTAAGGTTATAGCAGTTTCACTGTTTGTATTGAATTTCTCTTGTTTGCTTGTTGTTGTTTCTTCATTTTAAGCTGAATTAGTTTTCATATTTATGAATGTATTCAGTTGAAACATTGACCTAAAAATGTTTTTTGTTTGTTTGCTAAGAACATAAGAGTATAAGCAGCAATGAGTGGTTGCATGCACTGCCCGTAAAATATGTGACCAAGCATACAACCATAATGCAAATGGAGAATAAATGTGTCAACACCAGGTTATATACAAGATCATTCATTTATCCACCTCTGTATTCCCTTGAGTCCCGTGGTCTAGTCATAGGCATAAACTGTAGCTTAAAGCTGTTTTCTACACAAATGATGTATCATTGCTAATTGATGCATGATGTTAATGTCATCACAGGGAGAATAACGGATGCAACAGTTAAAGCTACATTCCTTGAAAATGCTCCAAAAATTAGATCTAAATGAGAAAATGCTGATGATGGAAGTATTCTCAGGGAAGGGAGTCCTCTTCATTAAACTGTTCTTTGGGAGATAAAACTTGTTCCTCATCCAGTAAATCAGATGTGAACTTCCTTGTACCATAAAGCATTTTTTTGTGATCATCAGATTTCCATATCCATCACAAAATCATTGAACCTACACCCTGCAACATGGATTGGGGTGAGTCTGGAAATATGGCCCTCCCAGGACTAGTGATAAGATATCTGATTGTGTCAGACTTATTTCCAGAATTTTTCTGTGAACTTACACTCCCAAAATATTATTTATCTAAAAAATTTAAAATTATTAACTATCTGCAAAAGCTACCATTTCTCTGTATTTACAGTATACCTAATGGGTCTTTCAATGAAAAGCAATTCCTCTTTCTACACATGTATCTATTTCCCCCGAGATGTATGGAGTAATTAGAACAGAATATGGGCTAACTCAGCCCTACATCTGATTTTTGTCACTAGAAAGTATTTCGACCAGTGTAAGTTCAAAGTAAAATCCTTGTAAACGTAGATTTGGTATAATATGTTTAATAGCTGTTTGAACACCTTTCTATTGTAAGGGAATACATTCACAGCCCTGTGCTCTCTGTTCTCATATGCGATGAAAATAAGCTTCACTCAGTGGAGCACAACTCTTTCATGGCAGCTGAGAAACCAGCTTACTAGAATTTGACAAGGAAACTTACAGTCCTATCTAGTGTTTATATAAAGAGCTGTAACAGCCAGCTTTGATGAGAAATCTTGACTGCTGAATTTGATGACTGTCTCCTGAGGTCTTAAGGTGTGGAGAAAGATGATTAACAGAGCCTTTGTCTTTTCTTTAAGTGCAGTGCTTGCCACTGAAATGAAAGCATTACAGTAAAGACATAAAGAGAATTAAAATTGATAAGCCAAACAATTTGGCAAGTGTTAGTAACTTTACAGAAAATAAATCTTTGGGTGCAAAGAGAGGTCTGTGCCTCTTAGAGTCCAGATTAGAGCTTGATGCTGTAACGGTCTGGGGAACTCGAGGGTGCGTTCTTCATCTCATATTCAGGGATAACATGCCCATCTTTACATCTCTGTAAGGAGTATGAGCCAGCCTCCTTCTCCATCTGCTAGGGAGGGGAGCAGGCTCATGGTCCGCTCTCCGTTGCTCCTCAGCATGATGCAGTATTTGGCCTGCCCCAACCATCCAACAGGCCTATGTTGCAACCTCTGTGGCATTTTTTTTTCTTCCCCAGTGTTTGCTTTCACTATGAGGCCTAAAAGATGACCTGTCATAATATTTTTCCATCTAAAAGGCTTTATTTTCTGGGAAGTTTCTCAAAATTTTTTTTTTTGCTGTGACTGAAAATTATTTGCAGTGAAAACTATACACTCTACATGCTAAGATGACAGAGAAATGAGTTCATGTCCTCTTTTTTTTTTTCTTTTTTTTTAATAGCAAACATGCTGTCATTTGTGCACAGTCAGTGTTCGAATAGCTGAGTGGCTACTTAAAGGCGTTTTATTTTTGTAGCTACAATATCAACTGAGTTTATTATAACTGGGTTGGACTTCATAATGTTCGACCTTTTCCAGATGAAACCTTTATTAATTCTTATTAACACTTGTCAGTCTCGAGGCCTGGCAGTCCAGATTGGCTTTGATTCTGCTGCTGGTTTAGGCAGGGTTTATCATTCTGATAGAATCTAATTAAAATAGAAGAAAATAATCAGTGAGTGATGTCAGTGAGAAATGGAGAAGCAGAGTAAGAGCTTTTACTGGCCACAGTATGTCTATAACTAGCTGCAGCTCTTCCCTTTTCTTCACTGCTGGAGGGAATGTTATTCTGCCAACCATTATTCATTCTCAATGAGCAGGGATAATCTTTCTTAATCCCTTGGAGGGGTTTCTCTGCAATATGTTCATTCTGAACTTTAAATCACTGTTTACATAGGGCCAGGTTCTGTCATGCTTTTTCCTGCCAAGTAGTAGCTTCCTCTGTTAAAAATGCAATAGTGAGTAAGGACAAGAATGAAGAGAAGTAGGCTCTATGCTGGATCCTTAACTGAAGAATCCAGCTGTGTGAATTTTCACCTGCAGTTATTTTTCTTCATGAGCAAGGACTTAAACTTTTTATTTTATTGTCAAATCCTTCCACTTGCCCACATGGGCACGAAGGCCTGTGGTCCATTATTTGGAAAAACTGGAGAAGGATAAAAGTCTGCCAGCTATCCAGTTTTGTTTGTGTTCTTTTCACAAGTTCAGCTCCTACCATTGAAACTAGTAGCTTTGTGGCCATCCTCATGCCACTAGCATCAAAATATTGGTGAGCTCTTTCAATGCAGTGATCATGATTCTCACCAGAAATTTATGTAATCGGTTAAACAAAACACTGCTGTCCTTGCCTTTCATATTTTAATAATCATCAAACTGAAGTGAAGTCAGTACTATCCAGGTAGCCAAATTTAGATAGACTTATTCATTAAGGTCAGAGTAATTCTTATATTAGTTTATGCCAGACCATTAACATAAGAAAGAAACTCTCTGCTTCTCTATTAAAATCTCTTCCTTAACAGAGTGAAGAAGATATAGTGCATTACCTGTTTCTCATTTGCTAAAGTTCTTGGTGAATCTCCACCCATCTTGTTTCAATTCTGGTTTACTTTTGGTTTTGTTACCTGTTTGTGAGATTAAGATCTGCTGGCTCTCATCAGTTTCTCCATTTGTATCTTGAAAGGCAGGTTTATTAAGTGACAGTTTCCAGGTCTAGCTTACTGTTTTCAAATTGAGCAAGGCTGACCTTGAATCATTTGCTTTACTTGACTTATTATAGTATTTTTGTTCTCATAAACCATCTCAAAGAAATTGTAAATGATAATGCTCCCCTGCAAGTTTCTGAAAAACAGTGCTGATATCAGCTATCCTAGTTCCACACCGTGTGGGACCTTTTTGTGCTGAATGTACATAATGTAGGCGGTTAAGGTATAACAACCATAAAGACAACACAAGGAAGGAAGGATCTTTTAACACTTAGTTCTTTAGAGAATCACTCTGACAACAAAAAATATGATTTAGTCAATTCTGCAGTAAAAACCATGGATGCTTCCAATAAGTGTGTCTTCGAAAAGGAGATGCAGTAGAGTATCAGCTTCAGTCATTTGAATCCATGCAGACACTGAAACTGAGGGTGTCTAAGAACAAATTCATGGTATTTCTCAAAGGGTTAGTTCATAAAGTAAAGACACTTACATGTAAAAGGATTAGATTATTTTAACTACACATTTCATTCAGTTGTCATACAAGATTAATGCTTTAGTTACAGTGTTAGTTTTGTATAAACATTACCTTTCCTATTGTTGCTGCCTTTTCTTTCTTTTCTTTTTATATTGGCCACAATTGCAATTGTTTTCTAAAGTATCCACAATTACGAATTCTAATATCACATACTTGATAATAGAGTTGCATATATATAAGCTTCTCTCATTTGATTTTATTCTGATTTTTTTCAATGTATTTTCTGTTTTTTTTTTTCTAATAATATATCGGAGAGGTGCCAGATTGCTTACTACTGATGTACAGGAGCTACAATTGTTGAAGATTCTTTTCCAATATTTTGAAGAAACTTGTTAATTGAAGGAGAGTTATGTCTTCAGGCAGCTGTGTTCTTGGATTTGACTAATTACATCATATGCAAAGCATGTCTTGTCAAGAAACCTGACCCAGTGTCCATTAAAAGCTCAGAAATCTCTGAAATAATAGTGAACTCTGGGAAAGAGGCAATAACAAGGGAAACTGAGGGGTTTTAACTTGGTGGTTAAATTTCTACGCATTTTGAACAAGAAACCCTTTTCCATGTTATTAATGTAACCTTTTCATGTGTTACTGATTTTAGTTGATGAAGGAGTTTCCTCTGCTCAGCATGTTCAACATCCATGAAAACCTGCTAGAGGCTTTGTTGGAACTGCAAGCGTATGCAGATGTCCAGGCCGTCTTAGCAAAGTATGATGGTAAGTTCATATCTAGTTGTATTTTCTCTATATTATACACACAGAAACAATTTTTCTAAGTCAAACTCTTAAAATTTAGGAAACATTGTAATTAAGGTGTAATTAAGGCACAAGCTTCATCGATTGCCTAACAGAGTCCTTAATCCAAAAATTAAACATTTTGCATTTTTTCTGCTAAAATATGCTTAATTAATTGTACAGGGTAGTGGAACTCAGGTACTAGCAACTCTTCTGCGCTTTCTTTGCTTTGTGTTAATGCTTAAAGAATGAATGTTTAGGTTCTGCGGACTTTTTATTGCGTGCTATTCAAACCTTGTCTGAAGAAAAGATTATCAGTTCCCTTGTGGACTTTTCTATGAATGCTGACTTAGTAGCATACAAGTGCTTTACAACCATTAATTGATTTCAATCCGCAGCAGTCTAGTGAGTAGTAGACTTCATATCTTATGGGGAAAACTTGGAAATCTCAGAAGACTAGGTGAACTTTTTGCATAAATTTTCAGTATTTTTCAGTAAACATTGGTTTATGCAGCATTACATCACTTCTTATGTTCAAATTACAGCTTCTGCTACCTTCAGATCTAGTCCTTTGAACTTGAATTCAGGACACAAGGGTCTCAAACAGAGAAAGGACAAAGTAAGAAGCACCAAGTGGCATACTTTGTTTAGTTTAAGTTAGATGGGTTCTCCTTGTTCTGGGTAGAAACTTTGTGACAGAAACAGTTCTCTTGAGCAGTGTTCATCAACTTTCACAGTGCCACTCTTCATCTTATTTCTGCAGACCCTGGCTTCTCACTTTTCACATTCCAAGATCTGCAGTAAGTGAATCAGGAATCCTACAGCCATCACTTTCCTGTTGTGTTACTACACAATCCTCATTCATCCTCAGAAAAGTCTCATTCTGTGCACTGGAGTAGGCAAGGGAGTTTATGAAAGGAATATTATGTAATCTTATAACTAAAAATAAGATCATAACACATATGAACCAAATAGCTGAATTAACAGTGAAACAGGTAGCCTTAATTTTGATGTTTCTTAACTCTTTCTCAGGATTGATCTTGTAGCCTTTAAAATGTTCTTAATTAGTAGCTCTTACAGCCTTTCTGGTGTTTTTTGAATAGAGATTTTAAGGCTTGTAACTTGCAAAGTTTTTGAAAAGGTAGATGGACATTATTTGAGATACTGTTGTATAAATGGCTACCAATATGATCTCTGGAACCTACATCCTCAGTGCTTTGGCCATTATTCTTTGAAGGAATTAACATCTTTTCCAGCCTGCCCTTAATTGATCTTCTGTCCTATTTGTGTACTGAATTGTCTTCTGCTTCTCTTTTCCATGGTCAGTTTCAGTTTTCTATTGCTCCTAGTTCCTACCAACTTGTTCAGCCAGTACCATTTGTTCTCAGTTCCATTCTTTTGCCTCTCCTAACTAGCTATCCCAGTCTTCTCTTCAGGGCAGTGGTGGTCGTATATATCTCCTCACCCACTTTCCAGCTCCGGTCTTACCAGATATCTTTTACATCTACCCTTTTCTCTGTGGCTTCTGCCTCCTCTTCATTTGACATTCTCTACTGCGTTTCCTGAATGCCAAAAAGCATTAACATTAGTGATAGTCACTGCTGCCAGTCCAGCCTGGAATGTTTTCAACTCTTTCTGAAGTCACATCATTCTAAGCAAAGATGTCACCCAGTCCCTTGACTACTGGCATCCAGTAGCACTAATGACTGTGGGAGAGGTCTTGTTTGCAGTTAGTCTGGTTGAAGAAATATGCAGTTAAAGTGGTAACATCACAGTCTTTCTTGTAGCTCCTTGTATTTCAGTAATTCCTGTGACACAGGTGCAGATCCCCATGGACTTTTTTTTTTTTTTTTTGCACGTTAAGAAGAAAGTAAATAGGCCCATTTCTATGCCACAGGCACCACGGGATATTGGCATCTTCTAGTTTTTAATGTAGTTATGAGATAATAGCCCTGGGAGATAGCAGAACTGTGACAGAACAGAGAATTAAGCCATACCCTCACAAATCTCAGACTGAAGTCCTGTGCCAGCTCTACGTTTGCATAATAAAGCACTGATCTCTAGTTAAATAATACCATGGTGGCACTTTGTGTTATGGAAGTTGATAAAACTTGAAGGTGTGGGGGTTTTTTGTTCTCAAAAACATCTGATAGAGTCAAAACTGAGGTTGTAAATGTAACAAATGAGGCTTTTAAAAATAAAACTCTTCTTACTTTGTCTGTTTGAATCCATGCAGTTTCAACTCATGCTTTGCCATATATAAACAAAGGTGTGTGTATACACTAGGTGTGCACAAGGACTCAGCAAACACAGCCTTAACCAGTATAACCCTTACAGTTCATGAGTCTCAGAAGGCCTGTCTCAGGGAGTCTCAGCTCATTTTAGAACTCATCAGTTTCAAGCATTGTAAGATTTATTGGAATAGAAAACAATGAACTCATTTATACTTTCCTATCTGCAGTTTCTGTTGGTCCCACTCCACTGCCTTTTTTTTGACTAAGACCAAACCTGATTTACTGTATTTTGATAACATATGAACAAATTGTTTCCTTGAGCAGTCAGTCTGCCCCCACCCTGGGCTAAAAAGTTGGAAGGCGTTATGCGAAATCTCAGCCTCTGCAAGCAGACACACTGCTTTACCAAAAGCCATGTGTTAAATACTGTTTATATTATGTACCTGGCAACAGAGTTGATGTCCATACTCATTATTCATGGAAAAAGGGCCTCATTAGCGGGACAGCATGCACTGTTGCTGAGCTACATCATTAGGGTTTCAGAGTTCAGTGTCTGTCAATAGAGTGCAGATGACCTAAATACTGTTGAATTCTGAAAGGATTTTTGGCCCTGATTTAACACATATCCATGTTACTTACAGCAGAAATACTTATGTCTGCTGAAGAGACCATTCTTGATGGAATAAGCTTCTGGTATTTACAGTAGATAAAGTTTATCTGCTTCTCTTTCCTGGCTTTTTTAAACTGATTGTTTTCCAGTGGAGTAGGTCTGTTTGTTGTGATGCTTAGAGCAAATGATTTATTAACTTCCCTGGGCAGTCAGTTGCTTTGATTGTTACCTGGTAACCTGGGCACTGTGTGAAAACTCAGACCTTTCTGGCAGTTGAAAGTCAGATTTTAAAAGAGTGGATGCCTATGTGTTTAGTCATAGTGATGCAGTGGTTCCTCCCTAAACCTGTCCTTGCTTTCCTTTTTTTAAATGACAGTGTTTTCCAGTGAGACTATAAGCCTTCTGGTTTTCAGGAGGAACGCCTTCTACAGATTTCCCTTTCACTTACCCTCTTGTGGAGAAGGAGAAAGACAATGTAGACAGAGTCCCAAATTGAGAGTTCATGTGAGAAGGTAATTTAGACCAAAGAATATGTGATTTCTAAATACAGGAGGTCTCATTTTGCTCTAGGCTGTAACACTTTTTTTATTTGGTAATAGCTTATGTCAAAGAATCCTACTGTAAATTAGTGTCACATCAAAATGCAAACCTTTGAAGAAGCACTTTAGAAATAGTCTTCTTTGTCTTGCAATACTTTCTACTTGATGAAATCCAAATAGTTAATATAGAGAAATTAGTTCTCTAAAATGTATCCTGTTCAGGGCTACTCTCCTTTCTCCAGTCCCCCTCTGTCCAATTTCTTCTTGTCATTACAGACTTATCAAACGGGTAAATTCTATTTACATTGAACTTGATGGCATTGTAGAGAGCTGCAGATCGATGAACCAGTTGCATGGAGTCTTCAGTTACGTTAGCTATGGTCTCCAGGGTTTTTGTGGATGTATGTGTATTTGACATCACGGGTCCACTCCATCAGTTTTGTTACTCGCCATGATTACGTTTGATATTTTTGAGATGATATTGTACCTGGTGGAGCAAACTGCATAGATGTTCTGAGTGCAAGAAAGAGTTTTCTTCTGAGTTAAAGATGTAGCAAGTGGCAGTATGGAAACAAAAATTACCTCATGCACACTATTTTATAATTCTTTTGTTTCTATGAAAGAAAGACCTTAAGAGAGAGTTCCTTATAGTTAAGGTCATACCAAAGCCTAGTCTATCTTCTCAGAGAGAAGCAAATCAGAGAAGACCTCCAGTTTGTGTAACAGCAGTAGCAAGATAATAGTTTTGTCTTTTTTCTCATTACATCTCTTTCAGCTCCTGCTTCTAAGAACTAGTTTGTTTCCTCCATGTCAAAATCACTTGTCACTTCAGCTAGGTCTCTGCATCAGGTCTCTTTTTTGCCATATTCTGTGGGGTTTTTTGTTTCTTCAGCTTGTGCAAAAGCACAAAAAGTATAAACTAATTATATTCATCTTGCTCTTTCTAATCTCCTGTAAGAGAAATTATTCCTTCCCTTCTATATGCATTTAGGATTGAACTTGGTCAAATTAAAGGAGCTGACACCTATCTGGTCACTGTGATATTAATCTCAGCACGAGTTGCATATGAAGTGTTTATAACCAACATTGACCCTCAAAACCTTTCCTTAACTGAACAGTTTAAGTTTTAGTTGTGGTCATGGTAACACTTTTTTTTTTTTGTGCTGAAATGTTTTTCCCATCCTATCAAGGGACCAAAATCCAGGCCTTAACATAGACAGTGGCTATGTGTTTGTGTTTGACTGGGGTGTTTCCCACCACAGAGGAAGAGTGTCAAAAGTACAGAGAATCGGAACCACTTTGTTTTGCAAGCACAAAGGAAGCGTTAGATCATTGTGTTCGTAGTTTTGCTCCCTCCAGCGTGTTTTCTACCACGTTTTGTGGAAAAATGCAATGACTATTCTCATGGGAGATAATACTATAGGATATTAGATCTTTTTGACAGAGTGTGTTTCCCCTGATGTTCAGTTCATACTTTATTGAATTCCATCCCACTACTCTTGCTTTTAACCATTTGTATCAACTTAATTCACTCTCTTCTTTAATGTTTGTGTCTTTATAGATGACTGCATTTCTCCTCTGTCATCACTGATCCAGCCT